TATTTAATAAATTTCCATTTTGCAAAAAATTAGCCTTAATGGAGTTATTTTCTAATAAAAAATAATTTTTTTCAAAACTTTAAATTTCAGAATACTTCATTTATTTCTTTTCTTGCAAAAACAAAACTCTGAAAATATCATACTGAGTACAAAAAAGAAATTTCACAGATAGAGGCCGGTACAACTGCCTGGGTTGAATGCTACGATTGCCATGTTTGTACTGTAAATATCTAATTTCTTTTAAATAAAAAATATACTGTTAGTATGTGCATGTCTTCACAGATTTACCTCTTTATAAATAAGTTTTTTCCTCTTTTTTTTTTTTTTTTTCCTCCGGTACCGGGAACTGAACTCACGACCTTGCGCTTACCAGGCAGGCGCTTTGCTGCTGAGCTAAATCCCCAGCCCTATAAATAAGTTTTATTCAATAAAATATTTAGTATTAACAAAACTTTCCTTATTTTACTAGATTCTAAATCTATAAAACCAAAATGTTTCCAATTCCATGGGAAGTCAATTAATTTCCTGCTGTGAGTCTGCCCTAGTATCCAGCTGAACCAACACCACTTTGAAATCTAAATGAAAACATTTAGTTGGGTTGTAAGTTGTAATTCTTTGGCAGATAAACCCCAACGATTAATTCTTAAATTACACAAGAAAAGCTTTGCATTTATTTTGTGGGATTTAATTATACAACTGGCTACTGAGAATGTTATTTTAAAATACCATTTTTAATGTTTATTAATATAACATTATAGTATGTTTATACTTTTGTGTTATGGACTTGGCATTTGAAGCTTATTGAAAAGTTTGTGTGATTGTTCCATAATAAATGAGTCTATCATTTGAGAAGGAAAAATGTCAGTTATGCTTTACAGATTGCTGGGTGACTATAAACTCACTTTGAAGAAAAATGGGTTGAACTTAATAAAGAATGGCAGCATGCTTTTTTAATCCACCAGTGTGTGCTTCACGCATTAGCTAAAAGAGCATACTTTAGCACACTGGATCATTGGTTGCAGCACACAGATATTGTGAAACATGCACACTCCTTGAGCCTTGGGTCCCCTTCCTTAACAGCAGACCTGCAACTCTCAAGGCATGAAATGTGATAGAAAAATTTGCTTCTTTCTTTATGATTATGTTTTTCTTAATGAAAATTAATAATGATATCCATGTAGAATGTCATATCATATGAAAAATGCAGCCAGTAAAATACAAAAATGATAGATGGTGATGATGGAATCTGTTACTACAATAAAATTTCCAGAGAATAAGGAGCTGAGATAGATTTCAGTTATAACTTACATTTTGTGGATATAGTAACTCAAGATATTATTTCAGATTTTGGATTCATAAGCTTCTTCTATCTTCAATTCCCCAAAATATTTAAGCACCAAGTGTTCTTATTTATTGGCTAAGGATATAGGAGGCAAAATAGCTACAACTTATTTCCATTTCTTGCTCAATTTGATCAATTTAAATCATACGTCTAATACAAAGGGACAAAAACAAATTCTCTCAGAGAGTACATGGAGGTGCTAGAGGAGATAGGAAACAGAGATAAAAATTACATAAACAGTGCCTCTTTTTTTCACTCCGAACATTATAGAGCAGGAGAACATGTAAGGAAGAATCCACATCCTTCCCATGTCATGAAATTTTCCACAACTGCGTTTTTACTATGTGTTCACAGGTAATGGAGGAAGTCAGGAAGATAAAGTTCATTCACTCAGTCATCCATTATGCATTTCCTAATTAATTAAAATCAAACATTTCTTGATCCTCGAGATACAGTCCTACCAGAGTAGAACATTTCCTTCCCTCTGGTTGTTTACAAAATGAAGTAGAAGGTAAGCTGAAGGTGAAACAGAAGCAAGATTCGAAAATGCTAGTCACACCTGCTTAAAGGGATTTGAATTTATCAAGCAGATGAGTAGTCACTGTAGGTTTTTAAAGCAAGAAATAAAATAGTTCCATTCTCCTTTGAGAAACGAAAGATCTTATTTTCTGAGAAACGTAAAATCTTGTGTGTATATTGTGAGGGATAAACAGTCATTTACGTATTTTGAACAAGAGATTAGCATAATCAGACAGGAATTGCAACGAAAAAAATTGCTCAGTGGTGTTTTGATAATTAAATTTGAGGAAGGCAAAAGTGAACGGTGTAGGGAAGGATTATATTTTAGTGTAGAGTAATGCCAAAAATATAGAGTGGGCTAGGGAGTTTAAAGAAAGTTACTTGACTTTCACAATATTAGTAAAACAACTGGGTTTAGTAATTGACAGGATTTATAAAGTGGTGGGAATATAGGCAAGAAAAATATAGAAGAATGGAGGAAGCCAAGGAATATATCATTTTTGTTTGCACGTTGTTATCTCTTGCATGTGACGTAAGTTGAAAATATCCTCAATCAAAAATGCGCTTGGTGCCCCTGCGTACCCAGCGTCATAGCAACACAGCGTGCGCTGGAACGTCAGCTTTTTAGCATCCTGCTTCTGCGGCTCTCTGGGAGTGCAGGGTTCTGTCGCAGCTCAGCCTTGTGAGAAAGAATGGGCAGCCTGGGACACAACAAAACCTAAAATTCAATTGCAGCAGAGCTTCTCCTGAATGAGTACAACTCCCAAGCCACCGTAAAGTTGAGAAATCCTGAAATGAATCATATAAATTGGAGGACTATCTCTATTATTTCACTTGGCTTCCATGACTGTATATCTTCTTGGTTTTCTCTTATTTCGTAATTGCTCTTTCTTTTCTCTTTCACTGCTTTCTTTTCTTTGCTCAGCCTCATAATATTGGTGTTTTAATGGTTCTGTTTTGGATACTTTTCTCAGTTTATATTCATATCTCTTACTATATCATTCAGGTTCATGGCCCTAAGCATCCCCTTATGTTGCTTATTCTCAATTAGCATCTTCAATCCAAAATATTTTTTTGTAATTCCAAATACACAGCTACTTCCGTAACATCTTCACACACATACAGCAGCTGTTTTGTGTTAAATATTGTGTATCTCAAGTGTAAATCCTGCTCTGTCCATCCTAACCATTTGCCAATTGCAGCCTTTCCTTTCCCAGCTGATGTCAGTTAAATTTCCCTCATCGTGAAGAACAAAAAAATGTAAGAAAATCTTGGAATCTTTTTGGTTCTCAAGCTTTATATCTGAAGCATCAGGAAATCCTGTTATTCCAACCTTGAAAGCATTTTTAGAATCTTGTTTCTTTGCTCCCTTCACTGCCACATTTGTGGCTGAAAGATGGTTATATCTCAGCTGTATAGCTGCAATTGCGTCTGAACCGAGATCCCTTCTTCAGCATTTTAGTGTCTGTCTGTCTCTCTCTCCCTCCCTCCTTCTCGTGCTCTTCCTCTCTCCCTCTTTTCTTCTCTCCCCCTGTCCCTTTCTCTTTCTCTTTCATGGGTTAGGGGGTCTGGAGGGGCGTTTTAGTCAGCAACAACAGCAGCAAGCATCTTTATTGTTCGGCCTGTATATTTTAAGTAATCAAGCTTACATTATCGTGTGCTGGCATATCTGTGTAGCGCATGCGTGTTTGTCTCTGCTGTCACGATTATAGAAGTGTCTCCCATTGTGCACCTGTGCCGAACAGTAGGGTCGTGTTTTTTCCTTTTGGGGCAGTACCGTTGTTATAGGTTTCCCCTTACCTTACTGTTTTACTGCCACATTCCTCCGCCGGGCTAAGGCACCTAGAGCACTGTAGACTGGGTGGCGGTGAAGGGGGCTGGGAGGTCTGACGCTGTTCCCAATGTGCCAGCTGGGCCACTCCCAGGATCAAGTCCTTCTTGCATGCGGTCAGCACTTCCTCGTCAGAGATATGGTACTGCACAGCAAACACCATCTGTCACCCGACACTTTCTCATGGTGCAGTTACTGAGTCTAGGTGATTGTCCATTTAGTGACTTGCTCAGGCAGGTCTCCTGGGTTTTCCCAAATGAGGCGGGCCACTGCCATCAACCGGTTTATCAAAGTCTGAGGCCTGCTTGTGGGGCTGTCCTTAGCACACCCTGTAGAATCTATTGTATAGAGGGGGTGCTGGCTATGCTGGCTATTTGGGATATCTCTTGCAGGTATCACTGGGCTAGAGGGTCTTCAACCTCCACTTTCTGTAGAAGAGCAGGCCTTCCACCCAACAGCAGGGATTCTACAGGGGACTCTCTCAGTGATGGGGACTTACACTTCAAGAGGAGGTAGTGCTTCCTGTGCCCCTCACCACAGTTTCTGCGGCAGCCAGCCATTGTCCCAGGTCCTCCTAGGTGCATTGCAGCTTGCCTACTTGCTGGACGAGGGCTTCTGCCTCTTGATCCATACAGTCAAGAAGAGTGAAAAGCAGCCAAGCCACCTTTCCTGCTGACTCATTGTGGGTGGTATTTGCATGTCTATGGACGCGTTCAACAGGTCCTTACAGGTCAGATGGACCACTTCCAAGTCCTCAAGGGGGTTCCAAGGTGCTGAAACCTGGCTACAGGTAACTAAGTTGAGGATATAGAAAGCATGTCAGCAACAACTCCTGGGGGCTTTCTCTCGCTGTCAGGGGCTGTTTCAAAGGACATTGAGGGAACACTTGCCTAATCCTGCTGACCATACCACTTGTCGGGTTGGGGGACTGAAGGGCTATTTTCGTGGTTGAGGTCCCCCGGGAAAATAAATCACGTGGAACTGACATCAGCAATGGTAGCAAGCATCCTTCTTGCTTGACCCATACATCCTGGCTGTTATCATGTGCACATTGATGTGTACTGTCATAACTGTGCAGCGCGTGGGTGGCTGTCTATGCTGTCATGCTTGTGGAAGTCTCTCCTGGTCTGTGTCTGCACCAGTGAGGTCATGTCCTTATGGGTCCTCCGGTGCCCTGGGCTTGAAGCAATCTGCTGTGGCTCCCCATGGATAGTCCAAGGGTTAACCTAAGTCCTGGAAAATGCTAGGTACACACTTTACTAATGCACTGCATTCTAGATCTTGCTTTTTTTAAGCCAGGGTTTCATTAAATTGCCCATACTAGTTTCTAACTCACAATCCTCTTCATGCTGCCTGGAATTCTAGGCAGGAGACACCGCATCTTCCTAACATTCTCTTCTGAAAGAGAAGCTAGGAGGAAACATTTTACCAAGTAAGTCAATCATGTAACTTTTTTGGTTAAACTATTTGAGAGATTCTTATTTCACTCAGAGCAAAGAAGAAAACTTAATGCATCAAATGAAGCTCCACATAAGGTAAATTCAGGAACTCACTGCTTTAACCTTTTAGTGGAATGATTTTTTTCTCATTCAGAGAACTGAAATGATACTACCTGGATGATAGCTATAGAGCAATGTCTGAAAGCTTAATTTGCAGGTCAGTGTTATACTAATGTGTGCTAATATTTCTGTTTTGCTGGAGGAAAACTGAGATCTTGGACCAAGCAAAACAATTTTTAAAATGAAATGTGTGCTATGTTTTGGAAAGTATGTGGATTTGTGTTCTTTTGAAGTGATAGTAATATAATTTCTTTAAAGACCATATTTTTACAAAAATTCATATAGGTTACTTAATAGAATTTTATACTAATAGTATATTCTTTTTGTTTCAAGTGTGTCATTGTTTGAGGTCTCATTTCACATGATCATAATTATTTCACCAGTGTGGGACCGACAGTTATCTCAGAGTCAGTAGCGTTAGCCAGCTGGTCTACCTCATTGTTTAGGTTTGCATTCAACCTGCAACTTTCTTCAAAATGAAAAGCCCATCTCCAATTGCCGTACCTTAGTGGCCTGCTATCATTTCTTCCTACATGTAATGTGATGTTTGTTGAAATAGCTTCAAAGCATCCTTATAATATTATGTCTATATGTCATATGGAAAAGTAATCTTAGAAAGTTTACCTATTGCTAACTTTCCTTTTATATGAAAATTTTAATATCACAGTTCACCTATCCATTTCAAAATTTAATTTTACCCTACTTTCTGGTACAAGGAATGTATCAAATAAAAATATTTTGCAAAATGAGTTGTCTATACTTGCTATTTCTTAGTAAATTTGGCTTTTTGAGGTCACTCACAGGCTCAAATTGTGATGACTTGGACTGTATTGTTTTAATTATACCAAGGTATGAAAATGTCCAATCATTTATCATTTTATTTTTCATCAAAGTTACCTTAATTGAATTAATAGCATAAAGTATTTCACTGCCCACTGATTACCGAGTATAACATAAAAGGGACAGATGATATACCACGTTTAAAGAAATATAACCAGTTGAGTGCTAGTTAAGTACTCTTAATCTAAGGGCCACCTGGCCACAACATCTGCTGTCCATTGATTGCCAGGAATGATTTGCCAGATCTGGATAACTAGGTGGGGGTAATTCAAATGTATTTTGTACAGAATAGGCGTTTCATATTTCAGATAAGGTTTACATATGTGTTTCTTTCCCTTAGAAGGCATAATGTATTGCTACATTTTATTATTTATTTCTTGGTATAATCATTTCCCCTATGACTCTGATTCTGTAGTGGACTAAAGTCCTGCATAACCCTGCCAACACTGAATCAATATGTCATTACTGAATGGGTTACCAATTCTACCTCTACAAATTTCTAACACTTTATCTGTGAAGCCGTAACTTTATTGTAACATCTTTACCTAATGCTTAGCTAGCAGCTTTGCAAAGTCTTTCTCTACATTCTGCTTCAAACAAGGGAAAACTCATTACCATTCATCAGTTATTGTTTTATTTGCTTGTAAATACTTGCCAATGATCAAGTTTAATTCTTTTCTTGCTCTCCCATCATCCAAATCCTTTTCTGTTTAATATTTAATCTTCCTTACCTGAATACTTAATCCTAAATAAATCCCCAGCATTTGACTTAGTTTTTGTTGGCCTTATTTACAAGAGCTGGTTTCTGTTACTCTTATCCTGTGTCCCAGGAGAATTTTTTCTATTGAAATCAACTTGATTTCAAATTGAACTACTGCCTGGAATATTCCACATTTTTTCCCTTCTCATCAGATGGATTCATGTTTATTTAGTTCTCAGAGTCATATTTGAGGTTTCTTAATGTCTTGAGGCATTCTTGTTGCCATGGTTAGATTCATTCTTTGTATATCTGGTGAGCTTCTGCAGGTTTTACTCTACCCAAAGAAATGTGCTGCTGCCCTGAACTTACCTTGATAAACAGGCTTTACATTTGATCCTATGAAAGCCTTTTGACACTATAAAGAAACCATTAAATTGCAATTTAACCATTGCTGAGTCTGGTGTTTACATGCATATTTCTTACTCCTAGGTCTAGCTCTTTTACTAGAGCACTGTTTAATTCTCAGTGCATTTAATAATTTTGATCTTTCAAGGATAATAAATCCAAATGCCTGATAAAGGTTATTTATTTATATAAGTATCAATTTGTAAGTTGCTGAATAAACAAAGTACATAACTTCTGCACATTCAAGCACAAAAGCAAAAACAAAACTATTCCCAATAGTAGCACAATAATTTCTGTGACAACAACGAGAAAATCAATGAAAATATTTAAAAAAGAAAACAAAACCTCTTGGAAAGCATTGACTGAATGACCAAGGAAATAAAAACCTGTGGGGCAAAATTCTGAGAAAAGAAAAATATAGGAGCTAAGTCCCTTATTTGACAATAGTATTTTTTTTTTTTTACCTCTGGAGTATGGCACTTTAATGCAAATAGACGAGGTTAACAACTTGTAATGCAACTAAATGAGGTTAACAATTTTGAGAATTTTTCTTGGCTGAGTACAAGAAAATTGGAATGTAAGCTTGACTGTGAGGAGAGATCCTGATAATAACATTGGGCTTTTGAAGAGGCCTCTACAAGAAAATGTCTTAGTGGTAAAGAAGGTATAATTTTGATCTAATTGGTACCTGAGTGGCCTAATATGGTCTAGTACAAGCCTCTTCATCTTAAGAAAACAAAGCACTTCTAGAAAGTAACATTATCCAAAAAATAAAATTTCCTTTGCAGCATTTTAACTTCAATATTCATCATGCAATTAAGACATACAGGAATACAAGGATTGACTAAATATTGATAGAAAAAGATAAGAAACAATGAAATAAAACCTACAAGAGATTCATATTAAAGTAATCATAAATTACTTCTATGACAACTGTGATTAATGAGAAGATGAAAAATGGCACAGATGTAGAAAAATGAAGTAAAATCAACATGCTGAAATTAAGAAATTACTAAAATAAACAATTACATGAGATGAGAGACAGATGGAGGAATAACTGTTTAATTAGAACATATGTCTGAATAAAATAGATGAAAGAAGAGAGAGGTTAAATGATGGAAAATTACAACAGTAGGTATACTAGGAATATGCAAAAATGGAAGAACAGGTGCACAGTTGAAGTCCAAGTAATAAAAAGGCAGAGGAGGACAAATACTTGAAGGGATAGTGGGTAAGATATTCATAAAATTGGTTCAGGTTCAAGGCATTAAATGATTTTTAGATAGAACAAGCAAAAACAGGTCTACTCAAAACATAGTAAAAGCTTGAAAACTAAAGAAAAAAGGTGGGGTACTGTTTTCTAGGACTGATGGTTAACTTCTTAACAGAAAGAGCAGAAGATAAGCAATGACTTCCAGGTGGGTTGACTTCAAATAGCATATTTTAACTGCAGAAAGGAGAAAAAGTAACACTTCCTGTTTTGGTTACTTTTCTCTCATTGCTGGGACAAAATACCTGACACCCAATATTAAGGAAGGAAAGGTTTATTTCGCTTACAGTTTGTGGAGGTTTCAGTCCATACTTGGCAGGTTACAAGGCAGAGTGGTACATGGCAGAGGGCTACAGCTCATGGCAGCAGAACACAACCAAAGCAACAAGCACTAGAAGGGAGGAATGGCAGTAAGCAGCCTCTTCCTCTCCCTTACATATGCAAACTATCCTCCCCAGGGCGGGTGGAGCTCTCACACCCATAATCAATCAAACTCTAAAAGCCTGCCCCATGACAACACGAGGCTTTGGGGGGACACCCAGACACAAACCATAACACTTCCTTATCCATTGCAAAGTGCATAGCTGAGTCACCATGAATAATAATAATAATAAAATCATACATACAGGTATTTATTTAAGTGAGGTTTACTGTAACACAGCAGGCTTCAGAAATAAGACACAAAGAAACCAGAAAGTCTGTATATTTTATACTGTTTGCAGAACAAGTGCATGACTATAGACAGCTTTAGTTGGATAGACAAGTTATAATCTAGTAATAAAAAACCAAAGAGAACTTATCAGTCTCTGTGTGACAGCTAAACTTAATTGTCAATTTAACTAGCTGGGAAACTATCTAGGGTATCGGTAAAGCACAGTTCGGGGTGTGTCCGTGGGGCCGACAGAGGTGTGCTTCTTGGCCCCTTTTCTCACACTCTTTCCTGCTTGGTTTCCTGCACACCATGAACTGAGCACTTGGCTCTACGAGGTCCTTCTGCCGTGTATATTTCTGCCTTGGAACCAACTGATCATGGAGTCAAATCCCCGAAACAGTGACCCAATAAATAATTTCCTGCTTTACACTGAAAGTCTGAGTATTTGGTATTAGAAAATGACTAATGCAGCATGCTTCTGCTTTGGTGTCAGATGCCAGGGTGCCATAGTTTGCACAGCATGTCCCGTATGCCACAACCACTTTCATGAGTCCTGAGATCTCCTCACTCCATAGCAGATGTTCTTACTGCAGTAGCATTACTGCGTTGAAGTTAATTTACACATGAATTTCCCTTGGCAAATGTTTCTATGCACTCGAAGTTTCATTTCTGATACTATATTATCCTTACTAGACCATATAAAGAAAAATTTCAATGAGTGGCTACACTAGCACTTACTGAACACCTTGTGTGAATTTAATAATATGTTAAAATACTTTATAAATCAAGATGATTTTAGAAAAGAGCTTACAACTTGAAGCTACCTGTAAATTGAGACACAAGTATCCAAATCTAACAGAGTGACTCTTGATATGCTGTTTTTATTTAGGAATTATAGCTCCCTTCTTTTAAATATTCAATTTAGAGAAAAAAGGTTATAGTCATAACTTAAATATTTTCTTTTTCATATGAGATGTTAACATACATTTCATCAAATAAACAGTTATATTTTTAATAAAATGTTGTCTTCATAGCTGAATGTGTTGACATACATCTGTAATCCCAAACCAGGGACAAGTTGAGGCAGGAGGATCAGATCTGTAATTGCAGTATGGGTTCCATAGCAAAGCACTGTTGCAAAGCAAAGCAGAGTAAAGCAAAACAAAACAAAATAAAACAAAACAAAACAGTACAAAACACTTGACTTTTATTACTTGCCCAAATTTGAGATCACAACCTATTTAATGTTTGTTTTTTTTCTATTTATACAAAATATATTTTATTTTAAAATGTGACTAATAGAATCAAGATAATTCATATTTCTCTATATACTATTTCATATAAAGTATATATTCCAAATTTTCCTGGCTCTTAATGGCCCAAGGCTGAGATAGGAGGATCACTTGAGTTCTAGGCCAGCTTGGGATTTACAGTGAGTTCAAAGGCAGTCTGAGCTACATAGTGATACACTGTGTCAAAAAATAAAATAAAATAAAATAAAATAAAATGTAATGTTTTAATAAATTCTTACTGCAAATAGAACAAATCTCTATTTCAGTATGACCCGTTTTATGCACATTGTAGCATATAATAGCACATAATTCTTTTATAGCTGAATGATATTTCATTTTATTGATATACCACGTAGTGTTTAATCATTTATCACTTAATGAACTTTTATAGTGTTTAAATTCTGGAGCTATAATTAGTACCACTGCTTGTATATCAAATCATATACACATCTGTACATTGACAAGCTTTCACTTTTGTACAGCATATGCTTAGAAATGTAATAGCTGTTTAACATTTTGAGGAACAGCCAAGCTCTCTCCTACAGTAGCAAAAACACTACATGGTTTTATCAGAAACATATCAGGTTTATAATTCTTTTAGATTTTCCTAAACTCATGGTCTTCTTCTGCCTGTTTTCATTTAATTATAGCAATCTTCACATGCAGGAAGTGATATCCTTGTAGTTTTGCTTCATATTTCCCCCGACAGATGATGTTGAACACCTTTGTATGAACTTATTGTATTTTAGTGTACCATCTTTGGGAAATACTTATTTTAATCTTTGTTCCACATTCTAATTGGTTTTCTGTCTTTTTCAGAGTTCTAAGAGTTCTGTAGGTATCATAACTACTATATTATTACCTGAAATAATATAACTATTTTCTAAGTCTTTGTGCTGGCATTTTATAACTTTACAGTATTTTAATGACACAATATTTTACCATTAGTGAATTTTAATTTATATATTTATTCTTTGGTTTCTTATGCTTTTTAAGTAAGGCTTTGGTGCCTCATAATCTTTTGCTGTCATTTGCTGTCATTTCTGTAACATTTTTATAATTTTCACAAGATCATCTTTCAAGAAAGTAATTTCATTATTGTTTTATGAAAACCATCCTTCTGTTAAAGTTTTTTTTTTCCATCTTACTTTGGATATGTTTTGGGGCTTGATCTTTCACCTGGTTTCCTAAAACTGTCTCTATATCATTAAGTAGGTTGTTTACTTTTCTATGATGCATTTGTTCACTAGAGTAGTAACAGAGACCTTCCTAAGAATAGAGCTGAAAAATGTACTGTACTCTTAACTATTATTCATTAAAAGTTTTTTGTTTTATTCTGGGGTGGTCAGGGACTGAAAAGCAGGTTTTACTGGAAATAAATAACTGTGTTAAATCCACTTTTAGCTCAGCCTATAGGCCGGCTAAACATTAGGGAATGCTTGTTGAAAGTTGGTAAAACAGGATTCATGAGCCCTAAATTTACATAATCTATCTTGTCCTCCTCAAGACTGAACACACCCAAATAAGAGATTTTTCAGGACATTCTATTATGCCAGAAGTCTCCAGCCATTGTTCTAAATCTACTTTCACCTTCGATTCCAACAGCACCTCCGCCAAGACTGGGAGGCCTCGGTTCCTGTCATCTCATGGAGACTCAATTGCCTTCTGAGGCAGTGAGAACCGCTCCTGGGCCCATCTTATGAAACTATAACTGAGGTAACAGCCAACCAGGTTCTTGTCCACTGTAACATCCTTAGTACCTCCACTCCTCCTTTTGTGAACTTGTCACTCTAATCCTCATCATCAGAGTTGTGCCCCCTTCAGTGGCTGAAGCTGGAGCCCTTTCCCTATCGCTCTTATTTTCCAAATATGCCTAATAATTCTGCCTGTCCCTCATACTGATACATCCTGAAATTCTTTTCCAAGAATTCAGTGCCAAGCCTAGGAATCCACTCTGTGTGTGTGTGTGTGCAATGAGTTGCGGATCCTATCTCCACCTTAGAGAATCTCTTTGATCCAAATCCAGTGATAACAGTACTTTCTATTTCCTTCAGTAACTTTTCCTTTGCTTTCCGAACTTATTTGTCCTAATAACCCTAACCTTCTAGCTTTCAGCCTGACTTGTCTTTGACATTCATTCTTCAACCTTAATCATTTCTTGCTTTTGATTTAAAGAGAGGAGTGTCCACTGCTTGGTTTTACTTCAACAAACTTAGAAGTCCTTGTAGGGTTATAAATAGTCTCAATGTCAAAATTGTTGTTTTTCAGGAAATAAATATGAACAAAGATAGGGAGATCCTACAGTGCAGTCAGTGGAGCAACTAGACTCACACACTTATCATTAAAATTTACCATCTTATATGGAAATGGCTTGAGGCAAACCATAACAGTTACAATAGTAGTATCAAAGATTGCTTGACAAAGTTGAGTACAACATATGCAATAATAGTGAGTAAAGTTTGAGTTACTGTGAAAATTACCAAACTGTGACACAAAGACACCTGTGTTGGTTTGGGGGTTATTTTTGCAAGGGGAACAATACAATACAGGACATATATTTTATCAGATTATTTATAATAGTCACCCAAAGAATGATATACATAAGAGTGTGCAGGAAATCTGTCCAAACACTATAGACCAGAAATCCAGCTGAGGGCAGGGATCCTGAAATAATATCCTACATGAGTCCAGAAATAGAGCCCTCCCATGAATCCAGCTGGAGACCCAGAGCCCATAACGGTATCTCACTCAGGCCTGTTTCACAGATCTGTGCTGAGAAGGCCCAAAGTTCAGTGGTGGAATCTAGAAAGTCTGTGCCAGCAGGATGAAGGATCTGTGCTAGCAGGCTGAGGGATCTGCACTGGAACCAGGAAGTGATGCTCAGAAGAACCAGAGCTCCCCTGAAAGGTACCACAGCCATGCTCAGCAACAGTGAGGTTCCGAGTTCCTCCAATGATCAAGATGGCTGGGTTCCCATCAGGGAAGCCAACAGAGCAAGCTTTTCTAGGAAGCTGGCAGTGCACCATCTTCCCCTCTGGAGCCAGGAAGCGATGCTCAAAGTGAGGACTAGAGCTCCCCCAAAGTGAACCAAAGCCATTCTCACTGCCAATGAGGTCCTGAGCTCCTCAGAAGAAGAAAACAGCCAAGTTCATCAGGAAAGCTAGCATGACAAGCACCTCCAAAACGATCAGCAGCTTCTACCAGCTCCCAACAGCCTCTCTCAGCTCCCAACAGCCTCCTTCTTCTCCAGGTCTGCTTCTTATGCTGCTGGCAATAGTTCTTAGGTGGGTTTTCCACACCCAGCATCACACTTACTCAGTTCAGCTGGGGGTTATAAGTTGACCACCAGTTATCAAACCACTGCAACACCCAAGAGCAGAGAGCAGATTCTATTGGATAATGTATGCCAATCGAAGCTTTAATGAAGCATTGCCAAAACCAATTGTCTAAAGATACATTATATCTAAAAAGTAATAAAGGAAAGTGGGATTAAATTAAGTATACCTACGATCTAATTTACAAATGTAAGCTAGGTTGGAGAACTAATAATGCAGCTAAATAGTCTACAAACTTCTCTTCTCTAATATAAAAGTTATTTCAACTTGTTATACTGAGACCCTATTTTAAGAGAAATTTATAAATATACAGGAAATCTCTATCTGTGTGTCTTTCAAAGCATAAGGAAATGAAGGAGTACTAATTTATTAAAGAATGGAGAAAGTATTTATTTAGGCATTTTTAATTTTAAAAAATAAAGAATGCAAACATGTTAGCAAACAGACATAAACAAGACCACACCCAAACAATAGAAGCAATACAGAGTTTCAGACAAAGTGAACCTACTATGGGTTGCTACTGAATTTGTTGATGAATTCTAGGAATCTTTTGGTGGAGTTTTTGGGGTCTTCCATGTAGAGTATTATGTCATCTGCAAATAATGATAATTTCACATGTTCCTGTCCTATGCTTATTCCTTTTATATCTCTCTCTTGTCTATTACTCTGGCTAATGTTTCCAGTACTATGTTGAATAGGAGTGGTGACAGTGGACATCCTTGTCTTGTTCCTGATTTTAAAATAAAAGCTTTCGGTGTTTGTACATTTAGTGTGATGTTGTCTGTTGGTTTGTCATAGATAGCTTTGATCAGATTGAGGTAAAGACCATCTATACCTATTTTCTATACAGTTTTTATCATGAACAAATGCTGGACCTTGTTGAAAGTTTTTTCTGCATCTATTGAGATGATCATATGGTTTTTGTCACTGGCTCTGTTGATATGCTGTATCACATTATTTGATTTGCACATACTAAACCATCCCTGCATCCTGAGATGAATCCCATGTGGTCATGGTGTATAATCTTCTTGATGATTTGCTGAATTCTGTTTGCTAATATTTTGTTGAGTATCTTTGCATCTGTGTTCATTAGGGAGATTGGCCTGTATTTCTCTTTCTTGGTTGGGTCTTTCTCTGGTTTTGGTATCAGTGTAATACTTGCCTCCAGAGATGAGTTAGGGAGAATTGCTTCCTTCTCAATTGCATTGAACAGTTTGAGAAGAATTGGCATTTAATCTTCTCTGATTTTCTTGTAGAACTGAGCTGTGAGTCCATTAGGACCTGGGCTTTTCTTTGGTGGTAGGTTGTTAGGCACATTTTCCATATCAAGAATTGATATTGGGTTGTTCAGGATTTTTATTTCTTCTTCATTCAACTTTGGTAATTTATACTTATCTAGAAATCTGTCAATATCTTCTCTATTTTCCATCCTATGGGAGTAAAGATTTTCAAAGTGCGTATTGATGATCTTCTGAATTTCTATAGGATCTATAGTGATTTCACTCTTTCCATTCCTTATTGTATGAATTTGAGTTTTGTCTTTCCTTTTTCTGATAAGGTTGGCTAGGGGTTTATCAATTTTATTTGTTCTTTCAAAGAACCAACTCTTTGATTCCTTAATTCTTTGTAGTGTTTTTTTGGTCTCAATTGCATTAATTTCTGCCCTGATATTTATAATTTCCTCCATTCTTTGGGCTTTGGGCTTGACTTGTTCTTCTTTTTCTAAAAGTTTGAGGTGCAATATTAGGGTATTTATTTGTTCTCATTCTGTTTTCCTCATGTGTAAGTTTACCGCTCTAAACTTCCCTCTGAGGACTGTTTTCAGTACATCTCACAGATTCCAGTAAATTGTATTTACATTTTCATTTGTTTGTCGATACTGTTTCATTTCTTCTTTAATTTCATCTGTGACCCATTGGTTGTTCAGGTGGCTGCTATTTAACATTCATGTGTTTATGGAGTTTTTGTGGTTCCTTTTGTCTTTAATTTCCAGTTTCATGGCACTATGCTCAGATAGTATGCATGAGATAATTTCAATTCCTTTTCACTTAGTTAAGTATGTTCTATGGGCTAGTATGTGGTCTATTTTAGAGAACACCCCATGTGTAGCTGAGAAGAATATGTATTCCGGTGTTGTGGGGTGGAATACTCTGTCAATGTCTACTGAGTCTATTTCTTCAAAAGTTTCATTCAATTCTGTTATTTCTTTTCTGCTTTTGTTCAGTTGACCTATCTCTTTATGTCAATGGGGTATTAAGGTTACCCATTACAATAATATTACTAGTTATTTGTTTTTTTGTGTCAATTAATATTTGTCTTATATATTTGGGTGCCCCTGTATTGGGTGAATTCATATTTACGATTGTTATCTCTTCCTCTTGAAGTTTTCCCCTAACACGTATGTAGTGACCTTCTTTATCTCCTCTGATCATTCTTGGTTTAAAGTTTGCATTGTCTGCTATCAGAATAGCTACTCCTGCTTTTTTACATGTTCCTGGTGCATGGAAAATTGTTTTCCAACCTTTGACTTTCAGTCTATGATTTTGGTTTTGAGTTAAATGTGTTTCTTGTATACAACATATTGTTGGATTTTGTTTCTTGATCCACTCTGCCAGGCTGCTTCTTTTGATTGGTGAATTGAGGCAGTTTACATTAATGGTTATAACTGTTACATGTTGGCTTGTCTTTGTCATGACATTTACTTGCTGTTCATTTCCTACTTTTAATCTGTTTAATTACTTTCACTTCTATGTGGTTCCTTTCTATTGTTTTTCTTGAAATTGCAGTCATTTTTATTTCTTTCTAGAATATCTTTTAGTACTCTTTGTAGGGTTGGTTTGGTGCTCATGAAGTTCTTCAGTTTTTCTTTGTCATGGAAGTATTTTATTTCTCTATTAAACTTGAAGGATAGTTTTGTAGAATACAACAGTCTGGGTTGGAAGTTGTTTTGTTTTACCATCTGGAGTCCTTTACTCCAGCTCCTCTTGATTTGATGGTTTGTGTTGAGAAATCTGCCCTGTTTCTGATGGGCTTTCTTTTATAGGTGATCAGTTTCTTTTCTCTAACAGCTTTTAATATTCAATCCCTTGGCTGGATTTCTGGGATCTTGACTATTATATGTCTGGGTATAATTTTATTTTGATTATGGCTTGTTGGAGTTCTGTATGCCTCACAACTGTATGGCAGATGCTGTTTCCATATTTGGGTAATTTTCTGCTGTTAATTCTGCAAATAGTCTTCTAATGTCATTTTTGTTGATTTCTGATGTTTTGTTGATGTCTATCAGTCTTACATTTTTTCTCTTTGCATCATCTTGTATCTGTTGAATTGTTATTTCCTGGTTCCTTGTAATTTTTAATTGCTCTTTCCTTTCCTTTCCAT